TATATATGTTTATTTAAAGATTCATATTTGCGTCAGCAACAATTTAGCACTCAATTTTTCTAATTTATTCAGGTATTTGACTCTAAAATTGAATGTCAATTACACGCATGAAAAAAATGTGTATTTAATTTATATAATAAAATTGGTCATTTAAATTATTTTGTAGAAGTAAAAAAATCACATATATGACTACATGTCTAGCCTTCAGAAACAGTTGTACAAATATTTGCCTTGCTAATTTTCATTACAACTCATCATACTTACTGTTAGAAATAATATTTATACATGGAAGTAAATTAGAATATTAATTATCATTTTCATTGTTCAGTGATACGATATTCAGATTACAAAAAAATGCTAAAATGTCTTTAAATAATTTTAAATTTTTGGTAAAATAAATAATAATTATCAAGAGAGATCCTGATATATTTTTACTTTAAAATTGGGAACATCCCACATTTTATAACTGAAACCAATAATAGAATTATAGAGAATATTCATAGTAGTAATTTTTAATATAAATAATAAAAAAGTTTATTTTACAATCAATTTCACACAAAATCAAATCACACAAAAAACGCCTAAAGTTATTATTTTTAAAATTTCAAATATCATACATAGAATATTGAATAATTGTTTTAAATCTCAGTCGAGTAATTTATATAATAATAAATATTTTTATTACATTATTATAATTTCTGTATAAACAATAAACATATTTAAAGAAAATTTCTGATAATTGTTTACTTGTTATGATATGCAAAATAATTTATGTAAAATATATATGCAATTACTAATTAGTTCAACCGATTGCATAATAGTAATTAAAAACACACAAATCAATAAAATAAGAAAATAGTTTCAAGAAATAGTGCTGAATTAACACATAATTACCTAAGGAATATTACAATAAAATATTAATTATTAGATGTGAGAAAGAGAACAAATAAAGAATTATTCTTAGATAAATAATTTAATTATAATTTTATTAGTATTACTTTATTTATTTCAAATTATTCATATAAATATATGTGAGTAGTATTAAGTCATTTATATGATAATAAATATTTTCATTATATTATTATAATTTGTGTATAAACAATAAACATATTGAAATAAGCTTTCTGATAATTTTTTACTTGTTATGATATACAAAATAATTTTATGTAATATATATGTAATTAATAATTATTACAACCGGTTGCATAATAGTAATTAAAAAACATAGATCAACAAAATAAAAAAATAGTTTCAAGAAATGGTGCTAAATCAGCACATAATTACTTAAGGAATATTACAATAAAATATTAATTATTAGATGTGAGAAAGAGAACAAATAAAGAAATATTTTTAGATGAATAATTGGATTAAATTTATTCGTATTACTTTATTTAGTTCAAATTATTCACATAAATATAAGTGAGAAGTGTTAAGTCATTTATATAATAATAAATAATATTATTATATTATTATAATTGCTGTATAAATAATAAATTTATTTGAATAAGCTTTCGTAAAATTGTTTACTTGTTATGATATGTAAAATAATTTTATGCAAAATATATATGTAATTAATAATTATTATAACCGATTGCATAATAGTAATTAAAAAAACATAAATCAACAAAATGAAAAAAATAATAGTTGATAAGAAATGGTACATAATTGCTTATAAAATTATAATAAAAAATTAATTATTAGATATAAGAAAGAGAAAAAATAAAAAAATATTTATAGGTAAATTTTTTAATTAAATTTATTTGTATTACTATTCATAAATTATTTATAAATTTATTCGTATTAAGTATTTATGAGTAAATAATTCAAATAAATTTATTCATGTTTCTTTATTTAGTTCATTTTATTAAATAATAATTAATAAATTTATGTGAGTGGAAAGTATATTATTTTTCAAACTTTTCGAAGTTATGATTTGTATCATCATCAGTTAAATATTAACAGATAATTTAAATTTTATAAAATTCCCAAACATTGTATTAAATTATTATAGAGTATTCTACCACACAAGACAATGTTTGGAGATTTTATCATATGATTTTAATTTTAATTTATTATTTTAGATCAATATATAAAATTCCTTATCATAATGTCTTATCGTCTTCCTAGATTTACCCAAGTCCAAATATTTCGACCTACTTTAATTTGACAATTTTATCAGTTTGTAATGTGATAAGCAAATTATCATCAAACAGAAAAACATAAATCAGCAAATATTTTCTACAAAGCTTGAACCAAATTTATTCAAATATATGTATATATATATATATATATATATATATATATATATATATTTATATATATATATATAAATGTTATCAAATATAATCACTATTTCCATGAAATTTAAGAAGAGCATTTATCTATACATATTACTGCCCTGATACACTTCAATATAAATTTCTGAAACTGGTGACATAGTTTATCTTATCAAAAGTCTAAAGAGCAAATTTGCAAACTGATACTTTGTGATAATTATCCTTGAGATTTTGGAGTCGAAATCAATTTGTAATGAATAATTTGATTAACATAAATAATTTTATATGTTGTAATAGTGAAAAGATAAAGTTGTGATATTGACTAACCATCTATTTAAATAACAGTAATTTATATAATATTTATATGTACATTTTTTAATATATTTTCTTGAAAGAATTTTTTTTAGTTACTAACATATTATTTAAAATAATTATTATGTTTTCAATTTAATGAAAACACTAATTTATTGAATTTAACACTAATTATTTTTTAAATGAAAATTATTAAGATTTCATGACAATTTTTGTTAATTTTTTTCTATTAATGTGTTTTATTTTACAGGTACCATTGAACTAGAAATTCCATTCCTATTACTAAAGATAATATTAATCATAAAAGCCCTCGATTACAAGTACTTTTATCTAGAAGAAATGCACGTGTTGATTACGAAATGGAATAATGATTACGAAATACCAGGTGCAATACGTAATATAAAACTGGATATGAAATGAGAACTGAACTAGAAAATTATAATAATTGAATATAATTTATTAAAATTGTATTTTTTACATAAAATTTGTTATAAAAAATACAGAATACTTTCTCCCGAATTTTACATGTTTCAGGAATTTTTATGTTGGAAATATTTAAAAATTTTGAGTGTGGATTTTATTTTGTAATAGACTTCTGTAAAAATTAACGTTCTAGTACATTAGTTCATTATATGTAGATTTTCCAATTTGTTTGTTCTAGTGATTGCATATTTTGTACCAAAAACGTACTAAAAGCCTTGAAAAATTGTCTCTATCTTTTATATATTATATTTTTGAAAATTTTGTAGGGATTCTCAAAATAATGATAAACTAGTATTAAAATGGTCATATAATATAAAGGCACATAAGTAAATAAATACTATGTTTAGATTTTTTATATGATTTCTCATACCAGAAATTCCTGTCTGACTCTGGATGTTTAAAATATACATTATAAATAATAAAAATAAAAAAATAAAATATTTATAACGTATTTTAATAACTAAGAGTTAAAATTATTTGTAACGTATTTTTAACAATTTTGTCATTCAAAAATTACCTGATTTCAGTCAATTTTTTCTAATAATTCTTAAGCCAAATTAGAAATAATTGAATTCTATTTTTGGTTTAAAGCTCAGCGTCACATAAAAGTACTTTCTTATTAATATATAAAGTAGTTTGAACCAATTTTTTTATTGTAAAATAATGTATTGACATACCAGCCATAACAGACATTTTTCTAGGATTATTGTTAGAATTATATTTAAAACTTTGTTTGGATTCTATACTTGAATTAAAACTCATCGAATGATGAACTTAATCATCACTGTGATATTCAAACATATAATGTAAAATCTACAAAAAAAATTCTATTTCAAATGAACTATTAACTTAGACTACTTATTTAGCGAAATTTTTGATTCACATGAAGTACTTTCTTTTTACACTGATAAATGTAAAAATGTAATGTAATATCAAGAGATTTTTTTAATTGAAAATTAATCACTTTTAAGTTTTTTTTATATTTCATTAATTCGGCTTTGTAAACAAGTACATTTGCAATATTTTAGTATATATAATGAAATTCTGTTTCAAGTTAACTCACTTTTATATAGTATTGTCCAAACCTAAATTGAAGATTCTAGTTGGGTTTCATTTTGGAATTAAAATTTATAACATACTGTGATTTTCAAGTGTGTAATGTAATTTTAACTAGATTATTTTCATTTTTAAATAGATTCTTTTCATTACAAAGTTCCCTGTTTTAAGTTTTTTTTGAATTTTATTCATTTGATATCATAAACTAGTACAATAATCATATTTCAGTATATATACTGAAATTGTGTTTATATACTTTATTATGATATTTTACCTAAATTTAAAATTTGAACACGATTTCATTTTTTAATTAAAATTAATCACATACAGTGATTTTTTAATTTGTAAAGTAATTATACGAGAAAAAATAATTTAAAATCTATCTGTTAACACAAGCTGAGTTGTATATTTTATTTAACTTTGAGAATTATTAGGATTTTTTCAAAGGACTTTGAATAATTATTTATTTTAAAATACATATGGTGATATAATAGTAGGTACTAGTAAAATATAATTTTTAAAACAGAGAGTGACTCTATTATTATTTTCTCTGACAACTACACTTGGCGCGTTGGCAATACACGTGGTGTTCAGACGAATTCAAAATACATTTATGCACATACAAGTATTTACCAAATAAAATCATAAACAAAATTTAAAAATAACTGTACATTTAGGATAATAAGATTTCACTTGGAAAAAATATGTTTACTCTATACAAAGTACCCAGATGCTGTTTATTTTCGTCCCCTTGACAGATTTTTTCTTCGGCCGAAACCTAATTAGAGATTGTGTACTTGTGAAAATCACAAAATGTCCCTGAGATAATGAATTTATTTAAAACAAGGTTGCTCATTATGGATACGTACGTACCTTCACTTATCAGAAGTAATATTCCTATATAAAACTAGGCACTTTGTATATCACTAATCACGTTTAAGTATAAAATAAATGCACTAATATAGCACTCAAAGAAAAAATACTATACATTAATTGAACTAATTGATAAAAATAAAAATTAATTTCTAGGTTATAACACTTGTGTAAATATACTATAAAATAATTTCCACGTGGTGCAATGTCCCGCCATGGTAATTTTTTGGCTGATGTTAATTTTTTTTAATTTTTTTTTTTTTTGAACCGATGTTTTCTCAACCGAGTCGGTTGAAACACTGAGCGGCTGATGCCAGGCGACCTAACTGACTGACTATCTGAATTTTGTTGAACTTGACGACTAGTGATAACTGGCTCGGATTATATGCACACACGTTTAAATCGAAAATTATACAAATTTGAGTTTTGTTTAAGTTGTAAATTGGAAATTCTATACATCAATTCTATAGTCATGACAAACTTTGTAAAATATATACTATATATGATATGTTGGTCCATGAGGTTTGGATAGGTATGCGTTGTGTTGAGCTTTGAACAAAGAATCCAAAATATTTATAAAATACCCAAGAGTTTTATAATTTATAATTTATTATTTCAGAACTAAGTACACTCTATTAGCAGGACATCTGCCAAAAATATATTTTTGATAAGAAAATGAAATAAAATTGATAAATAAACCAAACGTCTTTAGGTTAATACAAATCAAATGTTTTTTGAATCGCTGTACTCAGATGCACCATTTAAAATAAAAATGACATTTTTTGTTCAGAAACGACCAGAACTGCCTCTTCCAAAAACTAATAAGCACGTCTTCTTCTCAATATGACCTGAATGTTTTTAGAATCATTCAAATCGGACACTCCGTTCTTTAAAACATATGACATTTTTGCACTTTTTACTCCAAAATATCTAAAACTGCCTTTGCTTCCGTCTAAAAATGATTTGAATGTTTTTTAAATTATTCAAATTGGATGCTCCGTTTTTCATAAAAATGTCACTTTTCAATTTTTTACTTTGAAACGGCTGGACCTGCTTTCCCCAAAAACTAATCAGCACGTCTACTCGTCAATACTAATCGAATATTTCCTGAATTATTCAAATCGGTTGATCCGTGTTTTCGAAATCGTCGAAAAAAATTTGTATCCGCACACACACAAACGCATACACTCACACACACATGCCAAAATGTTCAGAAACGTTTGAAACGTAAAGATATATAAAAATTATTATTTTCGATTTCTTTCGCGATTATAATAGCTTACCCTACGAGAAGTTAAAAAATTATAAGTACTTAAAATTTGTTTTTTTTTTACAATTTTATTAACATAACAACTTCTATAAAAATGTAAGTGTATGATAATATAAAATCTTACATGTAATTAGTAATAAATTAGAAAAAAAGAAACCCAGTTTTGATAACATATATTTGTATTGCACAGAGTACGTTTTAAATGTTTATGAATAATACGTCTTTTGTGTATTTTTTTTAAATGTAGTACAGTCGGTTTAAAAAAGTCTATATTATGTGCTAATGTGTTCTGTAAGCACAGTTTTGATTTGGGATTTTTAAAATTGCGTTTACCTTGTTGAAATCGTTTTATTAAATTTTGGCTGTTTTACCAACATAAACTCAATCACAGCCTCACAATTTATTTGATAAACCAGATTTTCAAGACGTTTAAGGTGTAAAAAGTGTAGTTGTGTTGAAATTGTTGATTAGTCAAAATCCTCTTTTAACAAGTTGTTTTCAAAAAACCAATTTATTTAAATAGAGACGAAAAAACTATAATGTCTTAAAATGTTCTGTTAAAATCTATATTCATGTGTAAATAATTAATTGTTGATAGACCCTTCAATCAAACTGTTCAATTTTAATATTTTTATGTATTTTTTCAGATCGATATAACTCATATTTTTATTTTTTTTGTTATAATTAATTTCAAAAATAATTATTTCCAAAAAAATTGGTAGTTTTTGAATTTTTTGCTCGTACCACATTAAAACCTAATAAATGTAATTTTTGTACAGATAGATTTGTAAAAAATAAATACTGTATTTAAACAAAATGTGTCATTGATCAGACAATATATAAATATTTTGTATTTATTTATCACAAATCCATGTGTTTTAGTATAATCCTGCCTCGATGGCACATGGCCATGTGTCATTATTCTTGCTCAAACACTGATTCAGCTGTTCAGCAAGTGTCAGTGCATGAACATTTGGTTTTTGTTATGATGCATATGTAGAAAATAATTAGTAGAGGAAAAATTTCAATGAAAATGAGTAGAAACATTCCCAGGCAGAAATAAACAAGAGGCACACTTTTATTTACACCAACACTTTTGGTACAGTTTATACAAATATGAAGAAAATTGCTCCAAAAATTTAACTCTACAAAATGTTGTATGATGTGTAAGAATTCATAAATTGAGTTGAAGTAATCCTAAACAAAATTGAATAAGAGACACTTTGACGAACACCAATAATTTTGGCACAATGTATTTAAAAGTAGAGAAAATTACTCCGAAAATTTAACACTACAATTCGTTACAATCAACAAATTGAGCTAAAATATTTCTACCCGGAATTAATCAAAGAGCAATTAATTTATCACTGATATTTTTGGCACGATTTATTTAAACATAGAGAAAATACTCCAAAAATTTAACACTACAAAACATAGAGAATTTTTTTTTTAATTTTTGGGATTTTTTCAACATCCCAGATAACCTTTGCCAGTAACATTTTCTTCTAATTTAACACTACAAAACGTAGAGATTTTTTTTTGATTTCTGGGATTTTGTCAACATCCCAAATCACGGTTGCCAGTAATATTTTCCTCTTATGATTATGCAACAATTATATTTAATATCTAAGTAGATTTATTTGTCAACAGATTCAGGCGATTTGGATGCTTATCAAAAAATTTTAATGTAATTTCAGATTTTTATGTTTGCCATAAGTTGTTTATTTTCTGGCATCTGGTATCTATAGTCTTATATAAAAACAGATTTTGCCATAATTTAGAATAGTTTTGGAATTTTTCTACAAAATCATGTAGAGTCTATGTACAAACTAATGGTGCTTTATATTTGTATATCTTATATAAATTTATACAACCACATTTGAACATCATACATCTGGTACAAAGTTAAACAAACGATTTCCAAAAATAAATTTCAAGGTTCGTTTGAGAAAAAATAGTAATAAAACATCAACCTCAATTTATATTTACATTTCAAGTATTTTTCCAGAACAAAACAAAATTAAATCCATAATAAAAATCTACATAAATCTATAATAAAGTGATACAAATTTTTATTAAATGAATTTAAAATTAAGTTTAAATATTTTAGAATTTGTACAAATTATACAATTATAGTACAAATTATAATTGAAATGCCAACTAATACACATTTGATATTTTTGGCACGATTCAATATTCTTACAATCAAATCTATAATTTGAACACTAATTTTATATCACAAGTAATCTTGTGTCAAAAGCTATCATCGCATATATATATATATATATATATATATATATATATCTTGATAGTACTAATTTGTATGTCTTTGTTCAGAAACAAAATTATTTGGGCGGATATGACACGATAAACTAAAAATATATATACAAATTTAATCGCGTATTCGAAAAATCCTGAAATACAACAAAAAGACTGTTAAGATAAACAATGTAAGAATTTAACGATTTCATTTAAATATATAAACGTCTGCAATACGATTTCTACTACTTTTTAAATCATAAAAAAACTCATTTTGTAAATTTGCTGCATGTTTATTACATGTTTTAAAATTATCAATTTATACCCAATATTGTTTAGGTACACTGAAATGATCAAAATGTCTTGAAATGTAAAATTGTAGATAATTTCGCCTTTCGAATTTCTGAGAGATTTTACTAACTCACTTTAAGGAATAACTGGGTCATTTATCACAATTTCGATAAAATTATCTCGAACTTTTACCTCTCTCTATTATGAATGAGTAATAGAATATTTATCAGTATAATTTTTAAAGTTAAAACTATGAACGCCAGAACCAGAACTGGCATAATGTCTACTTCACTTTCCATATGAATAATTCAGCAGAAAACTCTGTGAAACAAAAGTATGCAGTCAAATGCACTTATGTAAAATGCATTTGGAGCTCAAGAAGAAAAGTCCCATAGGTATTACAGTTGGCCAATGTAGTAAATTTATTTCACGTCCAATTTTGTGAAGGTATAATATTATTTAAATAAAAATGATACGAGGATTTACTCTATTTATTTAGGGTATTTATGTTCTTGCTTAGTACCAGGGGTTTGTATTATTGTTTCTAAAAAAATGTGTTGCCTTTCAATTTTTATAACTTCAATTGTTATTTATTTAGTGAATTTTAAGTAATGTGTATCTATATATATTCTGTGTGTATGTTGGTCCATGTGCATATATAAATTCAAGTTCAATGTTTTTGTGTAAAAATAGACTTTGACAATGTAGACGCCAAGCGGACTACATTTAAAATAGATTCGGCATTGTACAGAGTAGAAAAAACAATAACACTTTGAGAAATAAAAGGATTTCCAATGACGATTGTTTTCTTAAAAGGTCAACGAAAATGCAGAAGTAATTGTACATATGTACATGAATACTTTGCGAGAATAATATTTTTCCCTGATATGAATGAACATGGTTAGGCGTAGTCTTAAACTTAATTTATAGCCACTAAAAATGTTGGATATTTTATAGTATATATTTATATATATATATATATATATATAGATACTTTACATTCATTTGTTATTTTCAGATTATAACCAGTGTCCTTCACTTGTATATTGCATTTTCTGTCATTTGCAAAAGTATAAAATTAGACTCTCAATGCACTGCGTTGCAAGATTTTAAAAGCAAAATTATTTTGCATTTGAATTCTATATTCTTTGGAATAAATATAAACCTTTCAACCTTCTTCAGGCTTACTTCTTGCACTTGTATCTTGCATCGAATCGGTAATTAGAAAAAAATAATTTTCCAAAAATATTTTTATGATATGAATCAAGTATACTTCTGCACCAAATCCACAACAATTTAAGTAATAAAAAAAATAAAAATAAAACCTCAGATATTTTTGTCTTATATAAAAGGCATGAATAAAACTGCATGATGT